TCCCTCTCCCCACCACAACTTGGAGAGGGCCAGGTAATCTCTGCAAGCTCCTTGAATGCCAGCACACCTGAGTTTTGTTTTATTATTTGGAAGGGCATTGAAGTATTGATGCTGAACTTTCAGTTAGCTCATTAGAGTGTTTTTCAAATTGTAAAGGGTACTTTGTGAACTTAAGACTTTTTCACACACATTTTCTCTTCTGACTCCTCTGATGACTGCATTCCAGCCTTCAGCGATTGGCACCTCTCACAAGGGGGGTGGGGGGGTGTTTCTATGTTAGTGTGTGACATAGGTCCTGTTTGTTTCTGTTACTTCCTAGTGACCAATCCACTGTTAGAATTAACACAATTGAATTCCAGATATGTTGTCAGGGATTCCCCCTTTGTCACGACTGATTTGGTTCTTCCATTCCTGGGAGCACAGTCCAATGGCCGGTGTCACACATCCAAAGAGATCGCCTTCACACCCTGTTTCCTGTGCTAAGAATACAACAGGAGTCTGTTAAGTTGCTTAAAGAGCAGCAGGCAAGCTCTGGCTCTGAGCACTGTCAGGATTGTCTGTTCTCCTACCTCCCTTTCCTTTCCCCTAGTCAGCTTGGACTTTCTGCTTTTTAGCATGCCATGGACCATTCTGCCCAAAATGGTACCCATGGGGCCAGTCAGAGACACTGCACATATGTTGGTCCTTCGCTGCCCTAACCCCTTATGTTGTGATTCACTTCTTCTGGAGTCCCTGCTGTATTCCTCTCTCCCTCACTTTATTCTCCCTCCCTCTTTACTTCCTTTCTCCTTCCCTCCCCCCCTCCTTACCCTCCTTTTACATTAAATATTTTAATGGTGGTACAAAATTACATTCTCTTTGTGATGCAACCAGTATCCAGAACTCTTTGCACCTTGCCAAGCTGCAGTGTTCCCCCCTCACCAACATTAATCACAACTGCCTCTACCCCACCAACTCACATACTAACTCCTATCTCTCTGACTTTGACTTCTATGGTAACTCGTGCAGGGAAATCACGGTGTTTAGTTTTCCTGTCTGACTTATTTCACTTAGCATAATATCCTCAAGGTTCATACCCTGTTCTCTCAGAAATGTCAGCTCACATTTGGCCACTGGATTGTTATAAAAAAAAAAAAAGTGCTTTTCTTAACTTGCTTTTCTTTAGACTTTCAGAAAGTCCATGCTGCAGGGTAGTTTTGGGTCTTGCCAGAACCTCCCAGGGTCTGGGTCATAATCCAAACTTTCTCACTGTGATGCCAGTTCATAGTATAGAGAGAACAGGCAACAGAGCACATCTTACCAAGAGCCACCTTAGCGTTCCATGCCCTGTTTACTCCCAGCATGCCCTGGGAACTCAGAAGATGACAGTGGGAGAGCGAGACCAGAGCATGGCTAAGGACCAAGATTAGCATGCTTCAGGCCCTCTGTGCTCACTCACCTGCTGGGCTGCCAGCTCAGCTCTGGTCTTTGAGGGCAGCTAGATCTGTGTTCCCAAACTATCAGTTTTCAAGCTGCCTTTCTGGCGGATAAGACCCACAGGTACTGTTGGCTGGCTTCCTTTGTCACAAAGAGCATCGGGTTCACCAAGCTGAAGGTCTTGGAATTTTGAATGTCACTGAGGTGGGTTTCTCCTGGTATCTCAGTTGTGTTGTTTCTGCTGACGGGAGCCCATTTTTCTGTCTTACTCACCTTGTTAGCTTGGTTGCTTTTTCTAGCCTGGAATTCCGCCTGGGAGAGAATCTTAGTGAATTACTATCCACAGCCTTTATCTGTGGAGAAGTGTGTCTGCAAGTTCACTGCCGGAAATGTGGAAGATGAGAATTGAAATTGGGCTGTTGGTGTGTATGTGTCTCTGTGGCCCCTGGGGCTGGTGCTAGAAGCCCTGGCTGGGCCTTGGGCTAATTGCTAACTTGCCATGGGCTGCCTTGAATCAGCTCTTCACCTCTGAGGGGGCCTCCATCTTTTCACCCATAGGATGTGGACAGTGCTTCTACTCCACCCAGCCCACGGCGGAGGGGGGGTGGCGTGCATGGAAGGTGTGCTCTGTAAGTGGTAGATTGCTCCCCCTGCATCTAGCTGTGTGAGCATCACTTTAAGGTGATTAAAATCCACCTTGTTAGGTTTACGTGGGCCTTAGTGGCCACTTCTCGTGGCAGTGACCACTTATAAGTCACTGACATTTAAATGGTGTCAAGTCCCTATTCCCCTTCCAACACCATCCTACCTCTCCCTCTTGATTGGCACATCATTGAGTGGTTTCCAGGGTGGTCTCAGTCCTCTGCAAAGGTCTGCATCACTGCTTCTCCAGATGCCCGGGTTAATAGACACTTTTACTTTCATTGAGCTTTAAAGGCCACTAAGCCAGAGCTATCTCCAGGTGGAAGAATAGTGAGTTTGATGTCATAACCCTTGACCTTTCTATAGGCATTTCTTATCTTTTTAGAAGGAATCATAAACGTTTGGGGCTGGATATATTCCTAGAGGTCATAAAATTGGATTTTTAATGTCCCCCTCCATGGTCTCAGCAAACAGTTCTCATAGGCAATTAGCAAAGTCCCTGAATATTCAAAGATATAGAAGATGCCATTTTGAGGGGCCATCCAAAATAAGACTGGAGAATATGGGGCTCATGCGCTCAGCAGTTTTGTAATGAGTGTGACAGGAACCATCTTGCCTCGGGCTAGAAAGAGACCCCAGGCGAATCCATCGTTCACAACTGGGGCCAGGACAGGGATGTTGGCTGGGCCCATCCAGCTCTCTCCACTATAGAGTGTGGCACACGTGACCACTCTGCCGAACGGCCAGAACAGTGGTCAGTGACTTAGGTGCATTAAATGGATGCGATAGAAACCACTAAGTAGGTTTCTGACACATGGAGAATTTTTCTTATCTAAACCACTGGATTTACCCAACCTCAGTTCCCCACGTTTACTCCATCCCTGGCATCTACTCAGTTTTCACCCAAATCAAGGTCAGGATAAAAAGGAGATTTGGATGGAAGTAAGCTGGATATTCAGGCTCCTGCAGTAATACTCAATTATCGAATCCTCTAGAAGCACCAACTCCTCTATAATAAAGTCCTCAGTTTTTAAACATCTTTAGAAATCAGGTGATTGGGTCCTGGCAACAGCCAGCTCGCCTACTTCCTATAAAATAAGATGGTACAAGCCCAGCAGCTGGCTGGGGGTGCTCAAAGATAATCTTAAGCATTTTAATACACATTACTCTTCATGCAGCCTTGAGCCGCGAAGCCCCCAAAACGTAATCGGATAGGAATCGCGTGGAGGAGACACGCGCTTGCTGCCAGCTCCCCGACAGCCCAGCCAGACCTCGTGACCTCTGGGCCGCCCCGGCCACTCGCCACAGCTGCCGGCGCCGAGAGGCTCTGTTCACGTGTACGCTGCGCCTGGCACCAGGGAGGCCCAAACTTCAAATGCGTTATGCAGATCAACTTTTAATTTTTTCACAAAAAAAAATTAAACAAATGGAGAGGTTTATTTACATCAACACTTATAATTTCAAACACAGCGACAATACTTGGAGGTTAATTTGTGTTTCGCTGCTGTGACTCTCTTCTTCCTCCCTCTGCTCTCAGGTCCCATCTTGTCCCACGGCCCTGCGCTGTTGTGCTGTCTGAACTCTGGTGATGAACTTTGGACAGCAGGATATGTCGCCAGTGTTACCCTTTGTTGACAGCGTTTCTGCCTGTGTTTAGTAGAGGACCTGCTGACTGGCGGGGCCATCATCTCACCCTTTTGACTTCTCAGTTTGCCTGTCTGTGCACGCTCACCTTTTGAACTTCAAATACATATTTTTTAAGATTTATTTTCATTTATTTATGTATATAAATAAAAAAAATACATGGGGTATAAACTACCCAGAGGTGTGGGGGTGAGAGGAGTCACCAGAGACAGAGTGTAGAGCAGAATGGGCAGATGGACTGAAACCCACTGCTGAGGGGAGCAGCAAGAGAAACAGGGGAGGTCTGCTGTGCCCTGTGGGTCACCTCCCTGGCTAGGGATTGAATCCATGCCACAGAGGCTGGCGATAGCTTGATAGCACTGTGACTGCACCACCAGGGAGGCCCAAACTTCAAATGCGTTATGCAGATCAACTTTTAATTTTTTCACTGTTGAAACCGATTGCCGTGTGCTGCTTTAGCAAGAGTATACCATCTCTTGATCTGGTTGTAGTAATGTTTCTGAGTAAGTGCTTTCTAACATTTCTCTAAACCAATTGCTGACTTAGAATAACCTACTTTCCATCCTAAGGATGTCTTACCAAGACGGGCTGAGTTATAAAGTTTGTCACTTGGTGTCTTAAAACAGTGAAAATGCTTGTCTATAAATGCAGTGTGTCTTTGTGATATATTGATCTTGCTCATCTTCTTACCGCTCCTGTTACTAGGCTGCAGGTGGATATGTCTGCAAAATGTTTTATAGTGAATGGGATGCAACATTTGAAGTACAAAAATTGAAAACAGGATAGAAAATGAGGCTGCGGAGGGAAGTTGAAGGGAGGGATGTGTATATCAAGGGCCCAATATTAAGGAAAAAGAGTCAAGTTCACCTCTAACATTCAGGTGGCACCCAGAGGTATCAGAAAATCCACTTGATCTCAGGAACATGTATAGGAATTCTTCCTCCCATAAATTCATAAAATGAGGAGTAAGTTGGCAGCTGTTTTTAAGTCCTCTTCTATGGTGCTGAACCATGTGGATTTGCTGTTTTGTTTATGTACAAATGATTGCAGTGCCTGGCGGAGGGTGCCGGCCAGCCCGGAACCAAAGCCCCACACAGACAGGTTACACTGTGCAATAGGAACCCATCGATCAGAGAGCAATCCTAATGGTTTTTTAAGATGCATTTTCAGAGGGTGTAAATAATGCATCATTGGGAAAGTGTTTTGAGGCCACTTGGACCCTCAGCGAAGAGGTTGCTCTGAGTTCTGGAGCGTGGGTGGACATGACGTGCTGTTAATGCTGCTTCTCTTTCTTTCAGCACTTCAGGTCCACCCGTCTGGCCCGGCAGCACCTTCTTCAAGAGAAATGGAGCCCTTCTACAAGGTAGGTCTCCAGCAGCATCCCTTCTTGGTGCTTGGGATTGATCGGGAAAGTTCTGTCCTGTCTAGGAGAGGGCACTCTTTGGAGAAGTGTGACTCTTATGGGTCGGGTCTGTTTGTCCATTTCTTTTGATTTCTTTTTACTTAGTTCTCCTGGTTGCTACGACTTGCTAGTCAAAAGCCAGGCTGCTGCTTTGGGCTGTCATCAGTGGTCATGTCGCCGAAGTGTTTGGCTTGCTTTGGTGGAATTGGAATCGTGGGCCTGTAGGCGTGCAACGATGGCATAAAGGGCTGATAAAAGCACCCTTCTGTGTCTGCTAAGGCCTGAACTAACGAGGTTAGTTTTGGTGTGTTTGGGTGTCTGGCCTTTTGGGCACCGTAGACGACCACTGGTTCCTGGTTTCTCTTAATATCCATGTGTACCTGGGCATGGGACTGCTCCAGGTCTCAGTGTTCAGTCCCCTCCTTTGTCCATACAAGCACAACTGGCAAAGGAACACTTTCCTCTGCTGGTTCGCACCAGGGCCGATCCAAGACACTCAAGAATTCAAAATGTTTTTCGTCTCTGCTTTGCCGTTGAGTGTATTAATGACCAAAATTAAAGGTGAACAGATGGTTATTAAAAAGAGCTGTGAGATGCATTCTAAATGCTGTAAGAAATTACTTTGGCGTGATTGCCCTGTGGGGTACCTGCTCTGTAGATAAGATGAAAGGGGCTGGCTCCTGAGATTTCCGGTCCCGTCGGCCCAGAGCAGAGGGAAGTAACTGAGGCAAGAGCTTGACAACTCTACTGGGCTGCTGGCAAGAAGCTTTCCATGTCTTGGTTGGTTCAGAGCTGTGGAGCCTCTTTGCCTTGAAAGTATACCCTGAGGACCAGGCTCGTGGGGCAGAGCAGAATGTCAGTGTGTCTTTGTGTTTCTGGAGTGGTTCAAGCAGTGGTGACAATTGTGACCACATCCTGCAATTGCATGGTGTCTCTTGATTTGCATTGGAAATTGGGAGCTTACGAATTTCTTTGCATTTTTGCTTGATACAGGTACAATCTCAGCAGGCAAGTTTGGATTAATCCTAATTTTAATGACCATTATAGAGAGCCCAAATATTTAAGAAAAAAAGGAACTCCATCCACTCCCCAAAATTAACACATGATTTCCAAACAGTCTGTTTTGTTCTCCCTTCACATAGTCTTAAGTGGAAACTGATTACAATGAGCCTTTGGGTTTTTTTTTTTTTTTAAGTAAATTCAAAGGTACGTGCTCCTTTACTTCTTCATCTGTGATATTCATGTTTAGCTATATTTTCTGTTTTTCAGGAAAAGGATCCCCCTTCTTTTAGAGCATTTTCTTACTAGGTTTTTGTTCATTAAGTTTTACATTACTTAAGACTTATCTTACCCAGGATATTATTTGTGAGTTTTTTGGCATGAGGCGGGAAGCATGCAAGAAATACCGATTATGTTTCTGCCGTCGAATGACTTCATGATAAGTTGCTATCTCCTGAGTGGTTGACCACTTTTTCTCTTCCTGATAGGGTTAACATTTTTCCTGATTACCCTAGGCATTGAGAATTACAATTTCAGATGCTCATTGAATCTGTATGTAGCTCAATACTGCCAACTTATTTTTGGTACACTGGAAATCAGAAGAGTGTTGGTGAGAAGTTGGGCATGTGGGTGGAGACTTGTCAGCAGTCTTTTTCTGAGATGTTTCTTCACTTGCTGTATACGTACGTAGAGTCCATGAGACATTTTGTTGTGATAAGATTTTTCCAACTATGCATGTTGCTTCCTAATTGATATTTTTGTGTCCCTTGGGTGGGTGTTACTGGTGAATCATGAAGCACTCCAAGCAGAAGTTTTATGGGAAAGACTGGGTCTCTAAAGAAAGCAGCTCCCCTTTGCAAGTCGGGGAGACTATTGTCCACTTTCTTTATGTTTTACAGTTCCACAATGTGCACACTTCCCTTTATCCCATCACATGCTCTGTTTTGGGTGATCAAATCAGGCATTTTGTCAGGAAACAGGTTCCAGCCATGAGGGATGGCATTGAGGGCGAACAGGATGCCTGTCCCTAAAGAACTCACTCAGGTCTTAGAAGTGTATAGAAAGTGAAGCCTGGCCATGCATGGTGACACAGGCCTGGAGACCAGCCCACAAAAGCCCGTCCTGCTCGTGGCCCCCTGAGTGTAGGCCATGAGTTTAGAGACCACCCACTGAGTGTAGTGATGGACACCTGAAGAATGCAGGAGCAGCAGGATAAGCTGATTATTGTTTCCGGGAGAGAGACTTATTTTCATCTGGAAGGTGTCACATCTTGGGAGAACTGAGAATCAAGCAAAGCCTTGAAAAATAAATAGATGTGCGCATGCAGAAATGAAAGGAAGGAACACTGCAAGCAGAAGCAGTGGGGGCATGTAGGCTTGGGGGACAGGACCAGGAGCGCATGTGAAGGCACAGGACCTGGCAGTGCAGAAAACGAGCCCCTGGGGGCAGTTGGGGGTGCTTCAGGATAAGCCCGAGAAGAACGCTGTCATGCCCAAAAAAGAAGTGATAGAAATTGAAACCCCGCGAGGGGTCACATGACCTAGTGGTTACAGTGGGGCCTGTTCTGTGGTCCAGTAGCTGATTTGTAAGCCTTTGGACTCAAATGTCGTACAGTAATGAACCAATTGCTAGAATTAACTGGAAGTCCTTGAGGTCCGACTTGAGTGTGGCCTCTGTATTTCAGTTCCCAATGAATCACCTCTCACTTTTGAGGATAATGGGGTAAGGTTTGGTTTGGATTACATCAGGCACGGGTACTTAACATAATTGGTCATTTCATCAATTCACAGAATTCTAAATGCCATTTAGGCTGCTAAAGACCATTTCAGTCTGTTAGGAGTTCCAGGGACTAGAGAACACTTCAGTCCTGTACAGTGAAAACCTAGCAGAAAGCCAGAATGGGACAAACATTGTTTAAAAGGGACCCGGCAGGTGAGTGTGATGGCAGAGGTCCAGGCTGACAGGGTTCCCCAGTGGTCTGTCTGTGTCTCTATCATTACTGTGTTTGAAACACACTTAATTTTATTAGTTAATCACATCTCTTCTTAAGGCAAAGCATCTATACGCATCCCTTTACCAAACTTCTGTCCCCACCTGCCTGTCCCCACCCCAGCACACCCATTCCACTCACCCTGAAACTTAAAATTAGATGACTTTAAGTAGACGTCACCCTCAGGTGACTTAGCCTACTGCCTCAGTGATTCCTAATCGCTCCTGGTCCCAAATCTGACTTTCCTCTGGCCCCTCAGATTTCACTTACAGGGCATCCCTGTTCTTGTCAGTCTCACCAGGAGCAGCCACGCACCATCCTGTCTGCTCTTTGGCCTTCCCAGGCCTGTCGACTTAGCCTGGGGCACCTCTGACCACCTTTGCCCACTCTGCTCTGAGCTACCCTGCCTGCTTTTTCCATCTCCACCAGGCACTGGGTTAGGCTCCCGTTTACCAGAGAGGTCGGAGCTCGCCCCTCAGCCACTGACAACCCATTTTAGGGTGAGAGCACCCATCTTGGCCCTTTAAGGAAGGACTGATAGAAGTCACCTGACTGGCCTTCCTTGACCTCCATCCTGCTGCCTTCTCTCCATGGGGCCACTATCTGCTCACTGATTATTCTCAAATCTATGTCTGGAGTATGCTGCAGTGGACTTAAAATAAATTCATAACACACCCAGGCCCTCCCTGGTGGTTAGGGCGCAACGGGTTAGGACGCAGCACTGCAAGCAAGCCACAGCCGTTTCAATGCCAGTTCGATCCCCGGCCCCGGAGGTTATCCACATGGCACAGCAGACCTCTCCTGACCCACCCGCTGCTCCCCTCAGCAGTGTACTTTGTCGATCTGCCTGTTCTGCTCCCCACTGTCTCTGGTGAATCCTCTCACCACCCTCTGGCCTGTACCCCAGTTCCATACGCACAAATAAATAAATCTTTAAAAGTAGATAAATAAACCCATAACACACCCAATAGATTTTTATTTTCGTTCACTTCTCTCATCCTACCAGGCGTCCTAGCAAAGTGCAGAGAAACCCCGCAGGCCGCCTCCGTGAGGCGTGGAGCCTTGTGCACTGCTGGTGACCCTGAAGCTGATGCTGATCGTGGCTGCCTTGCTTTGGAGATAGTCCGTCCCGAGCTCTAGGTTGGCTGCTTGTATGCACGACATGCCCTTGGATGCTTCCTTGAAAGGGGTTTCGTTGAGTGTTGGCCAGAACGAGCAACAGGAAGGGGCCGCTGTGTGGAGAGTGTGTGCTCCCTGGGCTGGTGGGGGCTCTGGAGATCCCGTTTCCTCCTGCATCTGAGACGTGAGCTTCACAGTGCATCTGCTCCCCCATCCGCGTGAGTGTGCATGGGGGTGACGCACCCGGTGAGAGAAGCACACCTGCTTCGGGGTGGGGGCCCTTGTTGCCCCCTGAGCTGTCAGCAGTCTGGCCACCTGCCACCAGAACTGGGGGGACTGAATTGGGAAATGAGTGAATGAATCCAAGCGATTGCTCAGTGTTAGAAGTCTTTGGGGTCTTAATTTAGAAAGTTGGTGATGTTTTTATGATTCTCCGAGAGCTCCTGTCAGAACTTAGCTCTTCTTTATTTCAATTAGTCTCTGGTTGAATTGGTTCCACTCTTTCTTGTCACTTAAAGCTGCCTTTTCTGAGGCCCTCCGGCCGATGGGAAGTAAGGATTTGTTACACTTTCCTCGGAGCGATATTGGGCATCACCCACGGTGCACAGCCCTCACCCTCTCTGCAGTGCACCCATGCATTTTCACTGCTAAGGTGCACACGGTACCTCACTTTGACTGTCCTCCAGGCCACGAAAGGCTCGCAGCTAGCACTCAGCATATCAAACAAGTGCTAGTGAATTATGAGTCAGGGAGCCTGGGCCCGTGTCCCACTCTGTGGCCTTTGTCAAACACACGACGTTCCCTAGGGCTCCATATTCTCACATGGAGAAAGGTGAGATGAGAATAAGGCTGC